AAGGACGAACAGAAGGAGAAACGCAAAGAGATGCAGACCGAGAGAAAGAGAGAGAGAGAGAGAGAGAGAGAGAGAGGATGTCGTCTGTACGAGAAGTCAAGGCATTAGAACAGAGAGAACGAGATAGAGCAAGAGCGAGAGAGAGAGAGAGAGGGAGTCAAGAGGAGCCCTAAATATGCGTCCTAGTTCTGTGCTGATTAAAGGGGAGCACACATGATACAGTCACTATCTAAACCAGGCCACAGAGAGAGAGAGAGAGATGGAGAAACAGGTGAGACTCTATCTCTCACTCTGTTGAAGGTCAGGCACTAAAGGTCGTCCTGTCTGACCTCTGACCCCTCAGGCGCTCTATCTACTGTCAGTTCAGAAGACCAGCAGCACATCACAGACATCAGATAATGTTCATCACAAGTAGGGGTTCAACCAGTCACAGAACTGGCGGCTCGGATCACATGACCATTTTTCTGCTTTCCATTTATTACTAAAAGAACACTTGAAGTACTGTTTCAATGCCACAGCAAAACTACTAGCCTAACTAATAAAATTCAAACATTATTAAAAACAAGAGAACAGTAATAAAATAAGAACAAATGAACTAATTACATGCACAGATAAATACAACAGAACAACTTTAGAACGCTTTGAGTGCGAAAGCAGCGTGCGAGAACCGAATAAAGTTCTCTTTCACCTCTTCTTGTGCTTGAATGACTTAAAGTTGCTTGAATGTTTAAACTGGCAAAACTTGAAACACGTGCATCACTCTATGATGGATAAACTTTGCAGCTAATCCAGGAATCACGTGCGTGTCGAACCGTGGGACCTGGTTTAACCTCTTATCACAAGAAGAACCTACACAGAGACTCACCTTCACTAGCTTTACCATCAGTTTTATCTGGATTTATGCAGTCCATCTCTCTAGACAGGGTGGTTCTAGGATTTGATCCTCAGCGAGACCATTAGTCACAAAGATACAAATTACCTAAATGAACTTTACAGTGCCTGTGAAAACTATATTACTCTATGAAGTAGGCTAAATGCACAAATTCGTTATATTGACGCACATCTGATATTTTCTTGACTGTTTACTTAAGACGTTACCGACTGTGTTTACGTGGATACTTGTCAAAACAGTCATTCTGACATCATTTTGTGTGTATTTGCACAAGAAGACACAAAAGAGAACTCACTTCGGTACTCATGTGCTGTCCAAACAACACAACCAGACAAGCATAAACCAGCACAAACCAGTGCAAGACAACATAAGACAGCATAAGCCAACATAAACCAGCACAAACCAGTACCAACCAGCATAAACCAACATAAGACAGCATAAGCCAACATAAATCAGCCTAAACCAGCACAAACCAGCATAAACCAGTGCAAGACAACATAAGACAGCATAAGCCTACATAAACCAGCCTAAACCAACACAAACCAGCATAAACCAGTACAAACCAGCATAAACCAACATAAGACAGCATAAGCCAACATAAACCAGCCTAAACCAGCATAAACCAGTACAAGACAACATAAGCCAACATAAACCAGCCTAAACCAGCATAAGCCAGTACAAGACAACAGAAGACAGCATAAGTCAACATAAACCAGCCTAAACCAACACAAACCAGCATAAACCAGTACAAGACAACATAAGACAGCATAAGCCAACATAAACCAGCCTAAACCAGCACAAACCAGTACAAACCAGCATAAACCAACATAAGACAGCATAAGCCAACATAAACCAGCCTAAACCAGCACAAACCAGTACCAACCAGCATAAACCAACATAAGACAGCATAAGCCAACATAAACCAGCCTAAACTAACACAAACCAGCATAAACCAGTACAAACCAGCATAAACCAACATAAGACAGCATAAGCCAACATAAACCAGCCTAAACTAACACAAACCAGCATAAACCAGTACAAACCAGCATAAACCAACATAAGACAGCATAAGCCAACATAAACCAGCCTAAACTAACACAAACCAGCATAAACCAGTACAAGACAACATAAGACAGCATAAGTCAACATAAACCAGCCTAAACTAACACAAACCAGCATAAACCAGTACAAGACAACATAAGACAGCATAAGTCAACATAAACCAGCCTAAACCAACACAAACCAGCATAAACCAGCATAAACCAACATAAGACAGCATAAGTCAACATAAACCAGCCTAAAACAACACAAACCAGTACAAACCAGCATAAACCAACATAAAACAGCATAAGCCAACATAAACCAGCCTAAACTAACACAAACCAGCATAAACCAGTACAAGACAACATAAGACAGCATAAGTCAACATAAACCAGCCTAAACCAACACAAACCAGCATAAACCAGCATAAACCAACATAAGACAGCATAAGTCAACATAAACCAGCCTAAACCAACACAAACCAGCATAAACCAGTACAAACCAGCATAAACCAACATAAGACAGCATAAGCCAACATAAACCAGCCTAAACTAACACAAACCAGCATAAACCAGTACAAGACAACATAAGACAGCATAAGTCAACATAAACCAGCCTAAACCAGCATAAACCAGTACAAGACAACAGAAGACAGCATAAGTCAACATAAACCAGCCTAAAACAACACAAACCAGCATAAACCAGTACAAGCCAACACAAACCAGCTTAAACCAGCCTGGACCTCTCAGTACAGAGAATCATAAAGTGCATAAAGTGACGGTTCACCCAAAAAATGGCTCATTCCTCACGTCACTCCAAACCTGAATGAGTTTAAAGAAGATATTTTGAAGAACATTGGGGTTCAAAGAACACTGGACTCCATTGACTCCCGTTACACTGAGACATTCCTCAAAATATCTTCTGTTGTTCCACTGAAGAACGTAAGTCAAACTGGTCTGAGCGAGGAAATGATGACAGAACAATCATATTATGGGTGAACTATTCCTTTAATCAACATTGATCTGTCTTCTGTCAAGCTGCTTTACAGCTGAAATTAAAGTTGTTTAATAATTGATGAATTTTGCAACCTTAAAGGGGTCATATGATGCTGCTAAAAATAACATTATTTTGTGTATTTGGTGTAATGAAATGTGTTTATGCGGTTTAAAGTAAAGAAAAACATACTATATTTTCCACATACTGTACATTATTGTTTCTCCTCTATGCCCCGCCTTTCTGAAACGCGTC